TATTCAAGAAGCCTCATTTTAATTTCCCCCATCAATATAAGGATTTATTAATTTGTATTTTTCAGTTTCGAAACACATCCATCATAACATTCTTATTTCCATCATGTTTAAATTAAACATTGTTAATTCTTTATTGCCCAAATTTAAAATCATACAATGTCTTTGGTGTAAAATAAAGTCTATCTTTAAGTCTTTATGATATCATCTTATCACATAAAATTTTAAAATCATATCCTTATTATTATATATAATAGATATAAAATGTTTAAATATATCAAATTGAAGTATCATTTAATCTCCTAATAACATTGAATGATAATCAATAATATGTACTCCACTAATATATATATATATATATATGATTGTGTCGGTGGTGGGCTGCTCCGCTAGGGTTTCGCCCGATTCTCTGGTTTGATCCTTCGGCTTTCCGGAAGTTCTCGTACTCGAAGACGAATTATGCGTTTGTTTTCCTCGATCGTCAACTCCTGTCCAACTACGAAGGGATTTTACGTCTTTGTCGTCTTTCCCTCACGCCAGCTTCTGCATGGATCTTGTCGAGCTACAAGTTTCGCGGCTCGTCTTTTTACGTCGAGCTTCGACTCCTACGTGGCTCGTCACTGCGTCGACCTTGTTGAGCTGCGACTACGGTTTTGCCTTGACCTATTCGGCTCCCATCTGTCCGACTTGGCAGAGCTTCTCCTGTGCTTGTTGTGCTTGTGTGAAGCACGCTCATGGCTCCAAGGCTATCCTACGCCGCCGCCCTTGTCGGTGATAATCCAGCCAAACCCTCCGATGTTATAGTGGTTAACAAACGCAGCTCCCATTTCCATCTTGCAAATAGTCTGATGTTCCCGCAAATGTACCATGATTATGTTGCAGGACATGAAGATTGTAATCTCATAAAAAAATAGAGAAGAAGACAGGCAAGCCAAAACTATTCTTCTCGGATGCTGAAATTTCAACTCTTGCAGGAAAAAACTAATTTTTACTAGTTAGAAAGATTCAATTAGGTCGCCCTAAGATGAAGATTATCAGGAATGTTTTTGAAGATTTCAAACTAGTTAGGGCTTGACAGGTGGGTCTTTTTTACGGAAGACATGTTATGATATAATTGAGCATAGAAGAAGATTACACAATGATTTTCTCAAAGAAATTCATCACAATTGAGGGCAATCATATGAAATTGCTCAAATGGACCCCTGATTTTGATCCCAGTCAAAAACCCTCAATTGCGTCTATCTGGTTCTCATTACCTGAACTCAAGTTTCAATTCTTTGACATACCTACCTTATATGCAATTAGAACTATCCTTGGAAAACTTTTGCAGGTAGACACACCCACAATTCATTTCTCTAAGTCCTCTATTGCAAGGATTTTGATTGAAAGAAATATTACACTACTATATATAGAAGAAGTCTGGTTTGGCTCTGCTCACAAAGGTTATTGGTGAAAAATCATTATGGAACAAAAACCTTACTACTGCAAACACTGCAAGATGTTTGGGCACCAACAAGAGAAATGTTTCAGATTGCACCCACAGTTGAAAACCAATAGTCAAAAGCAGGAACATAATTTTAGTGCACCTCACGTGCCTGAACGCGCTCCCAACAAAGCTGATGACAGCCAACCTGAGGGGGGAATCACCATAAGACAGGAAATGGTGTCTGCCCCTGGGAACCCTTCTCCTGACCATACTATAAGGGATAATGTTTGGACTGAAAGTCAGAATAGCCCTACAGCTCCTATTCAGAAAGGATCGGATGCAGAGGTGACAATTCACACTTCACAGACACTGGAATCGATCATTGTGGCAACGACTGTCTTTCCCTCTACTACAGTTCTAATATCTAATCAAACTGAGGATCACATGAGCTAGTCTTCAAATGAAGAATGACAGGTTTACACTTCCCGGTGGAAGAAGGTTGGGGGCACACTCCAACTTGAAACTTAATGGATGATACTTTGGTTACTCATTGCAATGACACGACACTTCAAAGTTTGTTATCTGGCTCTGCTCGTAAAACTAGAGGAAGAGGCTGGACTAAACTGGCTCGTCCCTAGCTACTTGTTTTTGGTATGTTTTAAATTTTTTGAGTCTATATGTATCTTTTGTTGGGGTAGTAATGTACTTGGTATAGTATGAGTAAGGTGTATTTATTGGGTCCTCTCATATAACATTTATGTATCTTTTCTATTTTAATAAAATCAGCCCTTAGGCTTTTCACACACTTTACTTTTTTTCAATGAAAGTCTTATCTGTTAAAATTATATCATCCATAAAAACCTTACCATTATCTCCTAAATAAGTTCTTAATCATCAACCTTCTACCCATTTTCTCTACAAATCTTTTTTTTTTTACTTTATTTCAATGAAAGTCTTGCCTGTTAAAATTATATCGTCCATAATAACATTAATATTATCTCCTAAATAATAACTATTTTGCACCATTATCAACCATAACATTCATGCCTCATCTAATCTGTCTTGATTGGAGATTCATGAACAAGAAAGAAAATGGGAAAGTCAAATTTCAACACAAAATCTATAGCTTACAAGTTTTAGTCAAGGAAATTCATTTTTTTACGAGAAGGATTCAATCAAGCCATAGTTTCCCTTATAATTTCATACTAGTCGAAGACCCTACTGTGGCATGCGCTAATAAGGTTACCAAAAGCCTTCATGACAATAATAGCGCAAAGTAGTCATGGGTGATCATTGGTATATTGCTTCATGTGAAACCCATCTGTACAGTGTGTCGGGTACTGTGTAGATGGTCCAAGTATATATTCATCACATCATGTTGATTTGTGAAGACTAGCAATTCCAATTTCATGTTCAAGAGTTGCAAAGAACAATCCAAATTGAGGCAATCCTTTCCATTGTAGTATGTATGTGGCCTAGCCAATAAGGGCAATGTGAACCTCAGGTCGTCACCAATTCTTCTAATGTCTAACTAGAAAATAAACCTATAGACGATGATGGTGCAAAAACAATTATGATTTAGGAGAAAATGATGATGCTAATGAAGGAGATGAGGCAATTGTAACTTATGATGGTGATGGCTCTCTAAATAATGACTTTAAAAAATAAATTGTTAAAAAACATATATTTTATTGAGTGATTACATCTAAGCATCAATGTTTGGCATTTTGACCTAATACTATGCATTGTTATACATATGATGCCTTTATTAACATAACTAGTTATTTTCATTACCATCATTTTGTAAATGTTCATGTATGTTAAAGAATTCTGAAGTTATATTTATACGATATTAGCAAAAAATATTTGCATCAAGATATTTTTATTTTAAATTATTAAATTATTAATGAATTATTCTTAATTTTTTTATTTGCATTTCATTTAAAATAACACATATTACACCACACACTATTTATAGGACTCCACATAACCTTCGCATTATGGTGCACTATTATTGATCACTGACAATTATAATTTAAATGTAAACTTTCAATTCACATACTTTACTTGCATTATGGTGCTTTATTGATCATCAACAACAACAACAAAGCCTTAATCCCACTATGTGGGGTCAGCTACATGAATCATTTTTTCTCCATTGCGTCCTATTTAGTGTCATATTTTCATTTAGTTCTAATAAATTAAGATCATTTTTTTATACAATAAGCTCAAGTCTTCCTAGGTCTATCTTTGACTTTCTTAACATAAGTCGAATCTAAAACATCTACTCTCCTAATCGGATCATCAGATGGTTGACGCTTAATGTGACCAAAACATCTAAGACGACTTTCTCTAATTTTATCCATCACAGAAGCTACACCAACCCTATCACAGATATATCATTTCGCATTTTGTCTCTAAGAGTAAAG